ACTGACATCATATATTTAGCTCCAGCATATCCCTTGATGAAGACTCACCAAGTTTAATTTACTATTTTAAATTATGTGTATCTATGTTTACATTAATTTCTCACTCATTAAGATTGACTTGGCAGATAGTAAACAATAACTTGTCAAAACAAACCACATTCTGCTTCCAACTGATATAAAGTCTAAGTATGTATCTGAATTAATATGCATATAGTCCATTATAATTTTGCATGCATTAATCCATTCATTAATTTTCTGAATTACTGTATGTTTTTAAAACTGTAAGAATATTCGTATATAATTTCATATGCTACTTTTTCTCATACACATTGTTATATTCAGTTCTCTCTATTGTTTGCATTCTTGGTTGCAATTCTTAAGCTAAAAACTTCATTGCAAAATTTGGAAAAATACATATTCTGAAGGATAATTATATTCCAATCTGCCTAGTAGTGCATGATTGAAAATTAGATGAATTAAAAATGCACTCGTACATATTTATCCAGTATCATGAATATAAATATATGTAATTAATTTGCTCATATTTATTTGGTGCTGTTATTTTCCTTTGTTCCTTTTCTACCATTGCCAAAATATATCCTCCAAGTTCAGCTTATATAGTTTCACTTGCTCTAGTTTAGGGGCAGCCTTCTTGATTGGACTTCAGTTTACACCAATCTCAATCAGTATGTTGCTCTGAAATCTATGATAATTTTAGTCCAACATACCTGGAGGTTACAAGTTTATGGAAGACTTAACATAAAGTGAGATATTTTCCAACTTTTAAAAAAAGCTTTTTAAATACTGTTTAACTTTATTGCAGCCTGAACCTTGAAGTTATTTAGATGTGCTAACTAGACTGAATCTTATTTCTTGATAATGTTGTTGCTATAAACTAGCAACTTTGAAGATTGTTTGTTTTGATTTGTTTTTTATTTTTTTTTGTAAGTTTTTTGGCACTTCAGAGAGATTGTTGGGAATACATTACTAAAAGATGCATTATGAAATAGCAATGGACAAGCTGTACTCTTTTAGAATCAGGAATGTTTGCAGGACCTTATCTTTTGTGATAATTAGTAATCTGGAAATATATTAACACGGATCTGCTGGAATTGGCTGTAGGGCAGTGGAAACCCCAAAGTGTTGCCTGTCCCTGAGTTAAGACAGAATGTAATATCACATCTGGAGATAACTTGAGATGCTAGTAAGTAAGTAACTCTGGACTAAAACAGCAATATGAACCTAGCCAGTCTGGATATGGATCAATTTTCCACATGGAACTCTGCAGAGCATAACCCATAAATTAACATTTTTTGGCCTTCAAATAATGTTCTAGAATCATTTTGTTGAAAAGACCTGGCTCCAATAGAAGTAGAGATTGCTCAGGCATTTTGTTTAAGCTCTATGAGGCAATTGCACTTGTGTAATGTAATAAATACATCCCTTCACAATTGCTTAGATGGGTATCTTGAACTAAGGCAAGCAGTATTTTCTTTAATGATAGTTCAACTAATTAGTCTGCAAAGGCAACCAACATTTAAAGCTGTGGAATGAATAAGAGCTTGCTTAAATAAATTGTATCTTTTGTTCTCTCTTTGAAAGTTTTTTCAGTGTGATTATAGGGCAAGGCAGATTTTCCTGGGCACTGTTAAAAAGCCAACCAGCCATTATTCTTATAATAGGTTAAGAAATTAACATGTCTAAAATCCACTAAAAATTCAAAGCTTCAGGAAATTAATTACTTTGGAGAAAATGAATTAATAAAAATTAAAATTAAACTAGAACACAGAAGTGTGAAAATGGTACAGTTCTGCAACAGTATGTGCAAAAGTAATCTGTGTAGCTTTAAGAAGCAAGAAACTAAAGGATTTTCTATATGTAACAATGGAAGAAAGCCATGATCCTTATATATGTAACTATACATTTAAAATCTTGGTAAAATATATTAAAGTAAAATACTGAAAGATAGGAATAAGAAACTCTTGCTTTTGCTTCTGACTTATTTGATGAAATAGAACTCCTGGACCCCAAGAAATAAACATTTATATAATTTCAACCAGTGTTTTAGAATCTTTTTCTATACATAACAACTGTATGTAGGAGTCCCTTGCTGTGCATTGTTTGGAAAAGATATAAATAAGAACTTTGGGCATAAACAGGAAGGGAATGACTGATAGACCTTGTAATTTCATTTATTTAAAAGCTTTCTTCTCTCTTTTTTCAAAGGAATTGAAAGGAGCCTATTACAAATTAATCAATGAAATAGCATTAGAGATTAAAACCATAGTCCAGCGTTTAGCGAGTTTTACTGGGTTTGGATAACTTGCAAAAACTTGCATGATGGCCTGGTGTCCACAAAAGCTGAAATTTCATAATTATGAAACCTTATGAATTTGGCATTGTTGTGTGAGATCTAATGCAATTAAAAAGGAAAAATTCTGAGAGGTCTCTGTGTGGGGGGTTTGGGTTGGAAAGGCATTGCTGACTCCTGCTGTAATCAGAGGGCACTGATAGTATACTTCCAACAAACATATACATTTTAATGAAAAGCTTTACTTAAAACAAGGGTCTCTGGATCTAATGAAAGGCTATTGCAGAGCTTTTCAGCTTCTCAAAATAAATTCTAAATCCTAGGCTACTGAACAAGTGGTCTTCCATGCTGTGGTCAACTGATTTATATATTTTAGTATTTTTAAATATTCATATTATTTTTATCTTTTATAATTACGATAAATTATATTAAAAGTATGTTCCTGTTGTATATTGCCTGGAGATGTGTAGCAAAAATTGGGCATGGGGATCAGAAGGTGTCGCTGAACCCATACAGTGGCTATGCTGATTTGTGATTGATGAGTTTGTTTTCTACCCCAGCTGATGTTTTTATGTGCCTTACTTTTCTGTTTTTCTGTTCTTTCTGGTTTTGTTTTGTTTTGGTTTTTTTGTGTTGCTCTTTTAATAAGAAAAATTTTAATGAGAAAAAGATCAGTGTACACGGCAAAACTCTGATATAAATTAATGACAGATTCCCATTTATTTTATTGTATGAAAGATAACATTGATCATGATAATCTCTGCAAGACTGATAACTTTTTCATCTAAACTAATGGAAAATGCACAGAGATGCTGCTGTTTAGTGCAGATTGAGCTTTGCGAAATATTGATATTCAATTTTAGTACAACAGGTGAGAAATGAAATCTTTTTTGAAACAGATGGACATGTCCCCCTATCATTTAGCATGTTTCTCCAGTAACTGTTGACTAGTCTTTCCATGTTGTTTTAAAGGATTAAAAAGTAGTGGTGGGGAGGAGGCGTTGCATTCTATTTGGAGGAAGGAGCTGAAAGTTAGATATGTGAATGTTTGTTTCCTGTTAAAAGATCAAGATGGTGAAGTCTCTTGGAAGGGAACTAAATTTTGTGGCATAGCAATGTCTGAACACAATATACAGTTTTTGTCATGGATATTTTGTATTGTAACATTGTTTCCTCCCTCCCTCCCTCCCTCCCTCCCTTTTTAGTTTATGACTGTAAATTCTATGAAGCAAAATAAATAGGTTCAAACTTTTAATTAGCACCATAAAAAGCCTTCCTAACCTGGCATCTAGAAAGGTTGGAATTACAACATACTGCATTAAATTTCTAGAATTCAAGGCTACAGGTAGTCCTTGCTTACCAACCACAATTGGGACCAGGAACTCCAATGCTAAGCACCACAGTTGTTAAGTGAAAAATCACATGACCACACTGGAGTTACATTACTTCCACTTCTGTTGTTAAATGAATCACTGCGGTCATTAAGAGAGACATCATGTGACCACAGCTTGCGTTTTCAGTTCCACATTCTCCATTAATTCTACTTGTTGGGAGCCAGTTATAAAACTGGCAAATGGCAATCATATGAATGTGGGCTGCTGCAATGGCTGTAAATGCGAGGATTGGTCACAAAGCTGTTTTTTTTTTCCCCCAACCATTTTAACTTTGAATGATTGTTGAACAAGGCAGTTGGTAAGTGAGGACCACCTGTATGCTAGCTGGGAAATTCTGAGAGTTGCTGTAGCCTCAACACAATTGAGAACTCTTTTTCAATGTCTCATATGAAATAAAGATCCCTTGCCTCTCTCATATGACATACTGTAAAGGTGGTTAATGGTTTTAGTCATTGCAATTTCCTAATTGCCTCCTTCCCCCTGCTCTGAAAATGCACAATTATAATAAAGCATATTTCCAGGCATATCTGTTATATTACTGGAAGACAGCTTAAGTATTTTAATTTTTATATTGCTGTTTGGGAGGCTAGAAATAAACTCAGAATTTTAAAGCATTTGTATATTTAATTATTACATGCCTTTTTGTCCACTCTCTCTCCATTATAGCTTGAGTGTAAGAAAGGTAGTTCCCATAAAAGAACATCTTTGCATATTCCAAAGTTGAGAATCCATAGGCAGAACTAGACAAGATACTGATTATAGTAATGCAATCAGAGATCAGGGTAAATATCAAAATAGCAATCATTCCCAACAAGATCTGATGAAAATCACTTTTCTGAACATGCTATTTGCAGTTCAAGGGAATAGGAGCTTCCCTTAAAATGCAAATTGGACCTTTGCAGAAACAACTTTCTGAAAAATTTTGGCAGGTACAGAAATAATTTTTCAACCCCTTCCCCCCCATCTCTCTGCAGTTCCAGTGCTGTATTTACCTACTGTAACTAAATGCATATATTTTATTTATTTATGTGTTTGTTTGTCTAATTTATATAGCTACCCATTTTACAAGGCCAGTGACTCTGGATGGCATACAACAAATTAAAACATTTTGAAGGAATATTGCACACTGATTCAGTATTATAGGGGCTTTGTAAATCCCAAATTAAAAATAGTCTTTTGGAGATTAAGTTCTTCAGAAGTTTTCAATAACGTTGATGGATTTGGTGGAACAATTACAAGATATTATAATATTAGCATTTGGATGACTAACTTTTTTTCTTTTTCTCTTGTATCAGGTTACATATTTGGGGAAAGTTTCTACAACAGGGATGCAATTCTTGTCCGGTTGCACAGAAAAGCCAGTAATTGAATTGTGGAAGAAGCACACTCTTGCTAGAGAGGACATCTTCCCAGCTAATGCCCTCCTAGAAATCCGCCCTTTCCAAGTTTGGCTTCATCATCTAGACCTCAAAGGAGAGGCCACTGTCCGCATGGATACCTTCCAGGTTGCTCGTATTGCTTACTGCACTGCTGATCACCATGTGAGCCCAAACATTTTTGCTTGGGTTTATCGGGAGATCAATGATGATTTGTCCTATCAGATGGACTGTCATGCTGTAGAATGTGAGAGCAAGTTAGAGGCCAAGAAGTTAGCTCATGCCATGATGGAGGCTTTTAAGAAAACTTTCCATAGCATGAAGAGTGATGGCCGGATCCACAGGAATAGCTCCTCTGAAGAAATGTCTCAAGAATTAGAATCTGATGATGGCTGAACTTAATTTTTTTGATGATTAAGCAAAAGCAAAAATGGCCCTGGGAACAGAAACATATAGATGATGAATAAACAACCATTCGGTTTGGGAATGATGGAATTCCCAATATTTGACTAATCACCTTTTCATTTTTTTTTTTAAAAAAGCAATTCAGAAAATTTCCTGAAAATATGCTTCTTTATTATGATTACATAACATTGAAATCTGCTGCTGTTTTTTTTTTAATGTGATAAGCTTCTTGTTTAGTCATTTGTCCATTTCATCTTCCAAACTTATTTTAAGCCTTATAATTCAAATTCTTGTCTTGCTGTTTGTAAATTATTTCAATTTCCTTGTTGAAATTCACTGAGCAGATTTAACAATGAGATCTTTCAAAGTTTGTTGTTAATATGTGTTATGGTAGTAAATAGGAACATCTTCTACAGAGAGAGAGAATACAATTTAAGGACCTACTGCTATCTTTTTACCATTTCCCAGACTGAAATTTCTACCTGCAGTTTGACAGCCTAACAATTAATCCACATTTCACAGTTTGAATATTGAAAGATGCTTACATTTACACATTATAATCATATGCTATATTTTATTTTATTCATTTAATCTTTTAAAATGTACTTTCAGTCACATATTTCCCCTTTAGCCCCATTGTTTTAAAAGATGAACTGCAGGGATGCCAAGTGAATGGTGGGACACCTGAATGTAAACTCCCTCTCTTTGATACCTTCTTCAAAAATCAGACCACTGCCTAAGGATGAACGTCCTGGATACTAGTTGGATACTAATGCATACTCTCCCTTGGTCCTGGCACAAATTAGTTTCACAGCAGAATTGCCACAAACTGAATCCATATTAGCTTATTTACCTGTGCTCCAGGGTCCAGTTTAAGCTACCATATTAATCATAGGGCATCTGATAATGAGAAGTATAGGATCCTTTAAGATCAGGTTTGACAGCAGAAAGTTTATTGAGATTCAGAACATCCTATTAATGTTTCCAGATGAAAGGGTTCATAGATATTTTTTTTAATGTTTAAAGACAAAGTGCTGATTACTAATACATAGGTAATGCTGCACTTCATACAATCTTGTTCATAAATTGTGGTAAGGTTAGGGGCACTGGGCACCTTACAGACGCCTTAAAAGAAAGCAAATCAGAGCAGAAAGCTATGGAAGTCTCTTTCATTGTGTCTAAATATGCACCTGTGTGTATGTGTGTATGTGTGTGTGTGTGCGATCACTATTAGAACATATAGATTGATCATGGGAACATACTGAGGAGGAGTTGCACCTTTAATAAATATGCTTATTGCTTTCCAATGTATGTAAACTATTCTGCAGCTTAAAGGCATTCATACTTTAATAAAAAAAGTTGGAATTAAAAATTAATAATTTCAGACTTCATGATTTTATACGTGCGTTCCTAATCTACTAATTCTGTGTAATAATTACAATCAGCATAATAATAGAAAAATTGGCCACTAAGCATTAAATCATGAATTATGGCTTCTTAATACTAGTTTGTACTTTTATTTTGATGTAGGTAGGCATTTTGCCTTTTCTGAAAGGCTTTTCCACCTACCTTCCCCTCCACCCTTTCAAGCTATTAGACGTTCAGATCTCTATGAATTGGAAAGCTCTGCCCTTCTTCTAAACAGGACAGTAGAAATATATAGCTGCAAAACTCAACTTCAGTAGTTTTCCCTAAGAATTCAGTTGTATGGGCTTTACATTTGTTCTTACTGAGAGTTATAAGAACTTCCCATTTGAATAAGTTTCTTTCTCTTCTTAAGGTGAGTTTTGGATTTGTAATGACAAGCATGGGAATTAATTAATTGTAAGCTGCCGTGGCTTGGAGAAGACAGTCTTCCTCCAAAGTTTGGCTACTTGTAATGGAGAACTAAAATACAGATACCCACGAAGAATCCCTTTGTTCCAAGCTTCTAAGGAATACAGATAGTGCAAAGATAAATGGTCATCCTGGCTCAGAGACTGATGGGATAGGGATGAGAGAAGATATTTTGTCCTCTTCATCTTCTCTGACCTCAGATTATTTCAAAGGAAGAACAGCAGCTTTCCTCTTTCTGAAACTGTAAACAGTCAGGACTCCTATACAGCAAATCAGTTCTTCCTGAATTAAGCTTCTTCTAAGTCAGCTCACTATTAAGAGAGATTTGTGTTATTTATAATGTGGAAAGAAGGATTCATATAAAATGCACAAAAAAACACAAAAGAATTAAAGAAACCACTGCTCTTAGTAATTATTAATTTCTTGAAAAACTGTGACTCTTCTTACTGAAAGTGTCTCCATCAGCCTTCATGCATTGCAATTAAGATATTTTAAAGTCTTGTCAAATCAGGGCACAGGTCAAGTTATCTAATTCTTTTGATTCTAGCACTCACTATTCAGATTCAGAGAAGATGGAAATGATACTCAAATATGCTGTTTTTGATATTAGTAACGGGGATTAAATTGTGAGATGGAGAACCTTTGGCTCTCTCTTCAGCCAGCATGGGCTATGGTTAAAGTTCCTGAGAACTCTAGTTCAGCAACATTTTGAGGTCTCTAATCTCCACTATTTCTAATGGCAGGTCCCACTCTTTAGCTACTGTAAGTAATGTAACTGGATATGGGCATTGTTAAGGCCTTCTACTCTATCTGAACACCGGGTAGAATGATGTGAGCAATCCTTCAAGTTATAATGCTTCCTAATCCTACTCCCTGAGACTTGAACCAGAGCCCTTTTAAACATTCAAAACCAGTCCATTCAAATAGCCATCATATTAAAACTAAGAAACTTGCCTCCATTTTGTTCATAAATTATATGTATTAGTTCACGAAATGGTATATAGCATGTATAAACCAATATTAACAGGATTAATAGCCAAGAACAATGCTGCAAAACAGCAAACTGGTAAAAGCTATCTTGGCCAGAGTTGTCAGATGTGTTTCCAATGAGTCTGTATTTTATTGTTCATTTCCAAGACAGTGCAAGAAAAAAAAAATCCTAAACATTATCAGCTACATAATCTTTCTGTTTTTGAAATCAGAAGTGTCCAAGCCCCAAGACTATTACATTATTGTTTGACAGATGTTTTCCCCACAAAGTTATATCTACAAATGATACAATTTTTTTTAGTGAATTTGTCTATTAGTCCTAACTTTTCATCTTATTCAAAATTGTTTCAGCTCTCCCATTTAGAAAAATTTGCAACTGCATCCTGGGTATAATCTAACCTTTATCTTCCCCTTCAGAAATGGCATTATTTATTCTATTTTAGAAGAATATATAGTATATATATATATATGGTAGTATATTTCTACTAAATATAACATTAGAGTCTATAAGCTCCCCAGACAACTCTTTTCCTATCTAGTTTCCTTCAACTGACTTGGACTACTGCCTGTCTCCCCTAGAGAAACCATGCCCAGAATCACTGGGAGTCGGGTGGCATATACATTTTATTATTATTAATAATAATAATGCTGATTGGGTGATGGGAATTATAATCAAACACAGAGAGAGTGCTGGGTTGAAGAAGACTACTACTGGAATGAGGTACATCTCTTGTTACCTCAAGCACTAGATACAAGAAACAGGAAACTGTGTGGTCCATATTCATTTTCATTTCTTTGTTCTTACATATGCCAACTGACTCAAATGTTTCTGAGTTCATTTGAGCTCAACAGATGTAAAGATGCTACACATTTACCTGAAATGTTCTTGTGGTTTAAACTATTTCTGGATAAAGGAAATGTTCCCCACTTCCTCATTTATTTTATTTATTTAAGAATTACTATACCAACATGGCAGTTTAAAAATAGCAAGAAAACAACCAATCTGAGAGAACCCCAAATACTACACAGTTGTCCCTGAGCTACAGATATTCTCTTCTACTGGTACCACATATGGGTGTCGAGCGCTTCAGAAAACACGCAAATGGGATAAATTTGCATGTAGGCAAACCTCCACCAAACAACTATTCTTTCTACATGAATGCCTATGACAAGATACCCTGCCCACCAGTGTCAGATACAAACCACCAGTAAACTGCACAGTTGGATGGAAAATAGCTCAAGAAGGCAGCCAAAAAATGAAACAAGTAATGATCATGGATGCTCATCTCAGACTCAACAAATACTAGGACATCATAGACAACCTCAAGGAGCAACTGGAACAAACCATGACCCCAGAACACACAAAAATACTGACAACCACCATCAAGACTACATCCCTAAAACAAGTTGAAAAAAGCAAATCAAAACTCCAAACTAAACCCCAGAACAAGGAGGTACCTGAATCTGAATGGGTAGTCAACATGTCTACTATCCACCACAGAACACAACATCTGCCTTATGTTTTCTGGGGTCTCTGTGTTAAGTCCTGTGGTTTAAATGCTGCTTCTAAGGCTGCACAGAATCTAAGCATCGTCCATGTTATAATTGAGGCAGACAATCATATCACAGATCAGAAGAACACAGAATTAGGACCAACTCAATGCAGAGGACCGAGCAGCCCTCAAAAACCTAAAGAAGGACCAAACCATCATCATCCTCCCAGCAGACAAAGGCCGAACCATGGTTCTCATGGACAGATCACAATACATAGAAAAAGCCAAAAAATTACTGGAGGACAAAGAAACCTACATCCCAGTAAACACCAACCCAATACACAAACTAGACAACTGTTTCAAGAGAACCTAACCAAGAAAGGTCATATCATAAAAGAAGAACAGTGGCAGATGAAAAGCAGTGGATCCATCCTCCCACACTTCTATGGATGCCCAAAAATACACAAGCCCAACATTCCTCTCTGACCAATTGTATCGTTACCAGGGACCCCAACACACAACATAGCAAAAGAACTGACAAAAAAGCTTGGAAGTATCACAGAGGGGAGCAAATATTCTATCAATTCCCCACTACAGTGCCTCCAGAAAATCAAAGACTTAAAATAGATGAAGATGAACTTATGGTTTCGTTCTATGTCACAGCACTCTTTATATCCATAGACCCAGAACTAGTGAAAGAATCCGTGGCAGCAGTATTACACAGCACACCCGGCCTAACCAAATACACTAAGATTGAAATACCCAGAATGGTGGGCCTCATCAACTTCTGCCTCACTACCTATTGTCAGTTTGATGGACAAATATACCAACAAATCAGAGGACCACCCATGGAATCACCACTCTCAGGACTCACAGCAGAGATCATAATGCAACGTCTAGAAACTATAGCACTTCCATGCATACAACCAAAAGTATGGATCCCGTATGTAGATGACACCTTCATTATAATAAAAAAGGAACAACTAGAGAAGACACATAAAACAATCAACAACATCTTCAAGGGAATAATATTCACAAGGGAAGAAGAAAACAACACACTACCCTTCTGGATACCCACATCA